AGACTCGGCACGAACGACAACGGTTTAGTGTGTCGGCGCTCGCGCTGGGACTAGTCAGGCGAGGTTATCGGTGCGTAGTCGGATGAGGTGAAAGACTTCCAGGGTCTAGGTTTGGGTCTAGTTTAAGGCAGTTACAGCAGGCCGGGAAGCCTCTGTCAACGATGCACTCACCTGGCGTGGACACCTGGGCCAAGGTAAGCGGGCACTTCGCGTTAAAGGGTGCCAGCCCAACTCCTGAGGACATTTACGGGTCTTCCTCAACACGGCCTATGCACATTGGTGTCGATCAGCCGACGGAGGGACTAAAAAGATATGTGTGTGTATTTATACCACTCAAACATGTGTATATGGCGACCATCCGTATATACACTCTATATACTGATTGTGAGGATGCTTTCGGGCTTGAATGCCCGTCCTCATAGGGTCTATTTGGGCCGTACGGTTCTAGTGATCTGTGTCTTCAAAAGTGCATCAAGGGTCTTAATTTGCTTTCGCCGCAGTTTTCGATGCAGAAACCCCATCAATGCCTGAAGTCAGGTCAGATCGGGGTCTTCATGGCTAGAAAGGTTTCGGGGGCATATGACGTACCTCCAAGACAACACGAACTTCTTGATACGAATTGCTCAAATCCCGATATTAGACGCACGTGCCTCGACTCTTGATCACACGTCTGACGCTCACCTGACAGTTGAAAGGACGAGACCCCGTGGAAGGAGGACCCTCGCGCCACATCCGAAACCCTCCGAGCTTTGCTGTTAGGCCTCTTCGGATTCCAATTTACAGGTTTGCTGCCGGGCCTTTCCAGGTTGAGGGTGTGTGGTGTAATCATCGCCGAAGCACAAAGGTGAGGTCTGTTGTGTAAGCACCCCTGTAGCGAGGAGCAGACGAGGCACGGAAGGGAAATCTCCTGAGCCACCGTTGAAAAGACAGGACGAAACCTCTTGCCCCAACCCACGACAACAAAGGGGTTCCCATACTAGTTTAGGGAACCCTCGGTGGACACAATGGGCGCTAGTGCTCTTCTGCTTTGCTGCTTTCTTTTGCGCGCCATTGGTCTTCTGTGGAGTTCCGTTCCGAGCAGTTTTTGCTACGTCATGCCATCCGGCAGCAGGGTTTGCTGTCATGTTTGATCGGAGCCCCATTGTGGATTGGACAGCTTGGCAGCATCTAAACGGCCTAAACCTGATCGAACGCTCTGACAGCCAAGAATGCATGCAGCACGGTTCATTGAAAAGGACAACAGCCTGAAAGTCATGATCTTTCATGTCTGAATGCGGAATGTGCCACTGAGACTTTTCAATCATGTTTCAGTGTTGAAGTGGTACCAGGATGCGTCCTTGAACAGTCGTCGTGTCTAGTCCTTCAATGTGCAGGGCCCAGGCGTAGCAATATGATTATCAGCCGCTGGTTCAAGCCTTACTGCTCCTCAAACGAAGGAGTCCAACAAACGGACCGTAAACTATACTACCTCCAGCCCACTCTAGTCTCACTGCCGCCCATCTTGGATACTTTCGACAAAGCGAAACAGATTCGGCGGCCCTTCTAGAGCGTAGTTGCGTTGCAGTTTCGCCCGACCCGTTTGCAGGCATCTATACTGAACTTAGAACTCTAGCAAAAATTGTAATTTTAGCTGTTTCTTAGGGATTATAATAACCCAAAAACTAAAAATAATATTTCTAAGTACCCCAAAGGCATGGTGATGATGCCCACAGGGGCCTCTACAACGGGACAAGCGCCCTCGCGAGCGCCGTTGCCCAACCTGGTACTGCGGGCCACGGTTGTTTCGTCGGACTTCCACAGTTAGGTTTCGTGGTTAATTATAGGATTTAGGGTACCAGCTTTGAGGGTTTAGGGCCAGTTTCGGATCTCTGTGCTGGTCTGAAAATTCTTCGGGCGAGTAGTTGCAGGAATCGTCGGTTCGGGGGACTCGGGTCCTGCGCTCCTTCAATCAGCAGAATGGGTTACCGTCTGCCGCTAGCCCAACAAGTAACAAGGTCTCAAGACGAGGGAAAACGAGACCATCTACAGCATTAGCATCTTGCAAGATGCTAGACCTTTACCAAAGTCAGAAGAAGAAGGTCAGACGGTCAGATGATGATGGACCCCTTTTGTAGGCATCTGATTGTGTTGGGCCAAAGTGCTGGATCCGTCCTCACGCGGACGTAGACCTCGGCTCAGGCAGACTTCTCATGTGCAGAAGTGTGCATACACTCCCCATACCAGCTTTCAAGCTTTTGGTAAGCTTGTTTGTTGTTTATAGGATACAAACAGGTTAGCCAAGAACAGTTACGCATCGGGTCTGCAGGGTTAGCTCCCAGTCCTAGAGCAGTTCAGGACCCGTGAAGTGTTCGCAGATTCATTTCACCTTTTCCTCTCTAAAGAGGACTCGCGGTTTCCACCTACGTAAGGCCTGAAGAACTTCCCATGCAAGTCTCAATCAACTCGGGGTCTAGCCAGATCCAGCCGCTCTCGGTGGGTTGCGCCAGGGGTTCATTGCAAGGAAAACCCGTGAAAGGATGCTAGACAGGGAACCGGGGCGATGGGCTTCGGAAGGCTGGGAGGCCAGCACTCATTCATCTTGAAACGTTGGCTTGATCAAATGCCAAGACATTCCAGAGGCGACCGACTCACATGTCAACAGAGTGATGAAGCCTTTGACAAGCTTTGCAAACACGATTTCTTGCCTCCCAAACCTTCTATAAGTTCTTCGCGCCCCAAACCCAATAGCCATGGGAGATGGCGCCGGGAAGCAACTTGCTCGTTCCGCACCTTCTCTTGAAAAGCCTGGCGCGATGAACTGTATGGGCCCAGAACTGTCGGCCATGCTGAGAACAGAGTTTTGTAGTACACCACATGTAGTTCTTCCACAAACAATGCGTCTATGCTACGGGGCTCTCATTGCATCAGTTGGGATAATATAGAGAAAGGGAGTGCAAGGGGTTTGGTTGCTGATGGCGTGGGACATGCACGGCAGGCATGGGCGGCGGTTCCGCTGTGGCACGATGTGGGGCGACGCTTACAGATTACACATCCCCATTCACCTACAGCGGGCCCGTCCTGAATGTATAAACTTGTGCAAAGAAGCGAGAGAGGCAGGCTGGCAGCAGGGCTGCTCTGAGAGTCCCCCAAAACCAAAAGACGTCAACCCTCAAACCATCCAGCCTTGAGGCACCAAAGACGGCGGACGTCTTTGCAGTAAAGCCTGTCACATCTAGGCTGAGCTCATACCCAACAGATCCCCAAACAGGGGCAATAAGAACAACAGTACGACAGCAGTTTGCACTAGGGTATGCGTTGGCGAGGACAATGGCGACAACGACAACAATAGCAACAACCACAACCACAGTGCCACGGTCATAGTAACAGTGACAATGCCAATAAATTATAAACGATAACAGTAAGCTTAGCAATACAGCGGCTTCTTCTCAAAGCTTTTGCTAGACATAGAAAAGCCAGGGTCGAAGCACTGACGGCGGGGACGTGGACGGTAGATCATAGTAGGTAGTTGAAATCAGGCGGTCTAGGAATCCTTTTACTAGTAACTGAAGCCCCTCTGAAGCTTACGGGTCCTACAAGGCACAGGCCTTACAAAAATGTGTGGGTTCTACAAGGTAGGACTTGAGTATCGCTGCCCTGCAATGGCTTTCCTATTGGTTTGCACGGCTTGGTTCGTGTAGGGGCATTTCAATCCAGAATCGGCCTGCATTGGAGCCATGAAATGAGACAACCCTCCTCACATGTAGGGGCTGTCAGGGTCCCAGCCGTCGGATGTAGCGATTGAAAGGGGCTCTCGTGTGGAGAGCACCCCTTCAACCAGAAAATCCAAAATCCCTATTACCCCAGTACGGTCTACTCATACCCTTTTCCTTTCTTGAACCCAGGCTCTTGCGATCAGCCATACCGTTTTCCCTAATCCCCTAACACTCCATACCCTAAACCGTCGACTAAGGTCCAAGGCATTGAAGCTCAAAGGCCTCCCTAAAATCCCGGCCTTGTCCTGGAGATGGCTTTAAGGATTAGGGTGGGGGTTTAGGGTTTAAGGTTTAGGGTTTTTTTGGCAGCACAATCACTCTGAAGGTTTAGGGTTTAGGGTGGGGGGGCGTAGTTTCAATGGCCATACTGGGGATGGCTTTAGGGCTTATGGCTTAAGTGGTGTACAATAAAGAATGGCTTTCCGGCTTATACTCCTTCACTCTCTCTCTGTCTGTCTCGGCCCTCTGTTATGTAATCTTTAAATGAGTCATAGTATAACAAGGAACACCAGAAGTCCTAGACTGTAGACCGACCCCCAAATGCTGTCAGATGCTTAAGCCCTCACGCCCAAAACGGCCCTAAACTTGAAACCCTAAATCCCCGAAGCCCGAAGCCCTAAATCTCCGCCTTCCCGTAGGGTTTAGGAAGGTGCGAGGCTCAGGGTTGGAATAAGGCTTTGGGGCGGATTAACACTTGTTGTTATCAAGAATCCTACGGGCCACCAGTGGTGACTATTCTGACCTCTACATAAGCCCTTAAAGTAACTCTTTCATGAGCCGCTCAAGAAGTAGTTATCACAACCTCTCGACGCCAAACCCTAAACCCTGAACCCTAAACCGAAGTCCTGAACCCTAGACCCGAAACCCACCTCCCGCCATGTCTTGAGCATCGTAGTCGGAGGAAGCTGGTTTCCAGAACGGGCCACTTGCCACTCAAGAGATCCTCCACCAACTGGTCCAGGCTTCTTCCTCGGCTTCTTCTTGGGTTTAATGGCTTCTTCCTCAGCTTAGCATTTTGGGCTTTCGGCTCAAGCCTTACTCCTGCGACTTTTGGTGTCAAGGAGCCCCATCGGTCCAGTGAAACCCTCGACTGTCCTTTGGGGAAGCCCTTTCAGTCTTCCGAAGGCGCTGAAAGCCTCAACACAAGCCTGATGCGAAGGTAGCAGATGCAAAGCACCCTGTCAAAGGAACAGGCAGCATGATTCTTTGCAGCGGCGTGTCGGCCGTGCGGCAAAGTCGAAGCAACATCTATGGCACGATGGCAAGACAACAAGTGCAGCCAAGGCGAAGAACAAAGTGTCTAGTGTAGGGTATTGGTTTGAGGGTTTGAGATACAAAGCCAACACGAATGACCAGTATCAGCTTTACTGCGACCGTCGGAATGCTGGCAGCCTGGCATCCGTCGCGGAAGTAGTTGCAGCGGAAATCATGTGTAGGCCGCAACGAGTCAACCCGAACAGTGCCTGCCAGTTGTGGCTGTGGTTGGCTTATGTGGCATCGGCAGCACACCCTATGATCGCATGTTGCATGTCTTCCTGGATCGCTGAAAAATGGAACGCGAGCCTTTGCATGTGTGCACATGTCCATTCGATCATGCGTGCATGCATCATCTGTGTATGCACATGCATGCATCCCTGACTGCCTGTGTGTCTCTCTGTCTGTCTCTGTCTGCCTGCCTCTACCTGTCTATCAGCTGGTCTGTCTATGCATACACCAATTATGTGCAGGCATGCACGCACACATGCATGCATGTATGTATGCGTATGCGAGCATATGTTGGGGTAGGCGTAGGCCTTGGTGTATGTGTATCTGTATCGGAGTATGTATATGTACAAGTCGATGTCTGTGTAGGCTTATGTCTACGTATGCATGAGCGTATGTAAATATGTACGTGAATAAGTTAGCAAGTAAGTAAGTAAGCAGGCAAGCAAGCATGTAGGTAGGTCAAGGTGTGTATGCAATTACGGGTGTAAATGTGCAACTATGTATGTACATGTTTGAATTTGCGCATGTTCATGTCTACTATGTGTATGCAAGTACATACGAGACACGTAAGTCGGCCTAAACCCTGATCCGGGTATATAAGCTTCTACATGTAATCACTGCATGAATAAGGGTACCGCCCAATCGAGGCCATCACGCAAACCTCGAGGCATCAAGACCGAACCTTCTTCATACAAGACCCATACAACACGAAGATAGATCATCCTACCACATTTCCATGGTGACTTTTGCTTCGTCAACGGTTTCGGAGAGACCTTGCGTGACAACAAATCAGAGGCAACATCGGCTCGCCTCAAGTTAGATCACTCCGTCCGTTATTGCGGGCTGGACTTTAGGAATACCTCGACAACCACAACCACAGTTGAAACTGACTAGGCGGGTTGATACATATACCCGACACATTGCCTGCAGAACCCGCACCAACCAGCCCGCGAGCCACCCTTCCTTTACTTTACACCCTACACCCGAAGACCCCACGAGATCCAAACCCTTATAGAACCGTTCTAAACCTAGAATAGGGTTTGGGGGCCCCTGCTACTATACTTATAGCAAGGACCCACCACCAAAACAAAAAAAAAGAGTAGAATTATTATTAAGGGCCCCGATATATCAACCTCAGAGGTCTGTGCCTTGGAAGGCCGTGTCGCTGCTCGAGTCCGGAAAATTTTCCTCGCTCTCGCCGATGCCCTCGGATGCCTCCTTGCTGTCGGTGTTAGGGCTTACAGTAAGGGTTTAGGGTTTAGGGGTTTAAGTTTTACAGGGTTTACGGTTGAAGGTTTACGCTCTCGCAACTCGGGCAATCCAGTTAGGGTTTAAGGGTTTTTTTAAGTGCATCGGACTTTTGATGTCTCGCCAGCCTGCCTAAAGGAGGGTTTAGGGTTCAGGGTTTTGAGTTCAAGGGTTTCGGGTGTTAGCGTTGAGGGTTTTGGGGTTCAAGTTCAAGGGTTTGGGGTCCAGGGCTAAGGATGTATAGGGCTTAGATGTAGCTGGGCCCCAACTCACCCACCTTCTCAGGGCTCCTGAATTCCCTTAATTATTATGGTTCCTGTATTGGTAAAGTTGTCGTTATCACCATGAGTTGTGAGCACTCGGCATGTAAGACGAAAGGCCGACTGCTGAGCTTGCACAGCCTCTGGAAACATGTTCGGTGAGTTCGTTTTTTTCAGCATGGGCTTGGATTGTGTAGTTCGTTCATCTTTAAACCATCGAAATCTAGAACTACAACCTTGCACAACCCGCGATTTTTTCTCTGAGGGTTGTCATACCCATTTAAATCTGAACGTTGCATCAGCCTCAAGGCTTCATGTCCTATGCTCTCTGGGCCCCCACACGTAAGCCAATCAAGCATTACATAAGCCTCGAAACGGTACAGATTAGCCATTCAGCTAAGACATTGAATTAGGAAGGCTTCAGGAGGTGTCTGCTGTGAGTTCCAAGACTCGGTCGCTCGCGTCTCTTGCGACTCGACCTCTTCTTCTGAAGTGGTAGAGATGATCTCCTGCCGTCAGTATGCGTGTCCTAGGCTTCAGGGCTTTAGGGTCTTCAGTCTGAGGTACCAGAGCTTTGCCTGGTATGCTGTCTGATTCCTAACTGTCAACCCTACTAAACCGACAGCTGTTCCACCACCGGTGCACTGAAGGCACTGCGCATCTACACTAATCACTAATCTCTGTGGTATGATAGGACAGACCCCCCCCCCCCCCACACACGCACACGCACAATCTAAGCCCAAGGCCCCACCGCTCCCCACGCAAGTGCGAAAGAATGAACTACTTGAAAAGGGAAGCCTCCTGGTTCACAAACATCACGCGCCTCTTAGGGCTCTTAGGTGCTTCTTGTTATGGCTGTTTCATGTTTGTTCAAGAGCTTTTCGGATTTATCTGCGGGCACCGTACTAGACCCTGTTCTATTCTTTCTGGCCCTCAGATGAACGTAGATTAACCTTAGCTGCGCCTCAACATCTTCCTCCACATCCTGCAGTTGGCTGAGGATGTTTGCCCAGTGCCGGCTATTGAGCCATGTGGTCTGCCTCTGGGCTCCCTTCTCATGCAGAAGCCTCAGGCAGCTTGAGTTTCGGGTGTACTATACTGAACTTAGAACCCTAGCACTAATTATAACATTAATTTTAGCTGTTTCTTAGGGATTATAATAACCAAAAATTAAAAAGATTTCTAAGCACCCCTAAGTTTAGGGTGCAGAAGCCTCGGGTAGTAGCACCAGGTTTGGGGTTCTACGGCCTGGGGGCTTCGGGGTCGCAGCTCAGAAGGCTTTTGGCATATCCCTTCCCTTTTCAGAATAGTGCGTTCTAGGATCTTATATGTCCTAGCTTGATGGTATTTTTGATGAAGATCCTCCAAGACCAATAAAGGGAAAATGGAAAACATCCGAGTGGCCTACCTGGGCAAAAAGGCCAGTGGCCCCGGCCGGATGGGGAAGGTCGGTTCGTCTCGTGCATACGGGCATTTGGGCTCGGGCTTTTCGAGCCAGCGCGGGGGGGCGGGCCTGCTGGTTCGCTCGTCTTGTCAGGATGATATCCCCCCGGACATGGTTGCCGATTCCTCATTGGGGGATGTTAACGACCGGCGAAGAGGATTTGTTCTCACAGTGATTTCGGCGCTCACGCTCGGACAAGCCAGGCGAGGCATGTAGTCCGAGGTCAGCTGAGTGAGACAACACTATCAGGGAGCAATAAAACGAGTGATTTAAGGTGTTTGGAATTCTTCTCCGGGCCAGCTACTCTGAGAGTTGACCCAGCGATTTTGCAAAGACAAAGCCAAACCTCTGCGAACCACCTGGTTCCGATATCAGGCAGGACATAAAATGGCTGCGGAAAGAATCTCCAAGTTCGGATGCAACGTTGCAAAAAACCACAGCACTTAGAAAAACATATATATAAGCACCCAGGCTGTCACAATGCGACCCAAGCCACTTGGCCACTTTCTTGCAGTGCCGCTCTTTGCTGCACTCACCATCCAATCGATGCCTCATGCTCCAGAACACAGCTGTGTCCAATGGCGTCTCGTTGAACCGGTTCGCAGTGTTCCTTAAAAAGCGCATGTCAAGGGCTGAATGCCGGACTGGTGAGCTTGAGGGGTCGCAGCCCAGAACCCTATAGCCTATCGCATGATCCGAAGCCCTGAATCAACCCCCCGAAAAACGGTTAACTTCTCGGGAAGCTCAGGACCTTAGACTATCGCCCTAAACTCGAAAAAATAGCCGGGACTCCAAGTGACGCTCCGACGCTTCGGGATGAGGCTTTGCGCTTGGGATTTATAGGTTTAGGGGGTTCTTTCAGGAGTTGAGCGTTTCAGGCCTGAGGAAAAACAGAGGTTCCCCGAATTGTCAGAACAGAACTTTTGGGTCCGGAAAAGTCTCCGGCATGTTTATACACATACATATATGCATGCATACACATGTACATATTGTTGTCATCCTAGGGCGACTATATCAACTATACATAAACCCCAAAGGCTGCGGTAGCTGACAGCTCTGATTGCAGCCCCTGCATCCCAAATCCAGGAAAACATGAGCACCTATTATGGTGGGAGCCCGTCAGTATCAGAATAGGGTTCCGACAAGGGTTCGCTTGGGGTTTCGAGGCTCTTTCCCACAAGGACTTGAACCTAATAAGTAAAGTGGACATGAAAGCTCTCAAAACCATTGCGCTGGTAGAAGGCGTCTCAACAAATCGAAATTGTCAGTTTTGGTATGCCTTTCTATAAGTTTAACAAGGAGCCCGATGGGGAATAGTATTGCTGCTCTAGTTCTTCAGGCTTGCACGTTCACTGACCCCTGCATCCAAAGATCAGGTCCGCCAATGCCTCCAAAAGTGCACAGGCGATGCGCCGAGCCGATTGCACACCCGATCGCGCGACTGCATGGAGGGGGAGGTCGCCCAAAAGGTCCTTTGCTTAGGGTTTAACGGTTTAGGGTTCAGGTTTTGTTTCCTTCTCGCATGGCCGGGATCTATGCCCACTCGCGGACAAGGTGGTTTAGGGTTCAGGTTAGAGGGTCAAAATCTACCTACACCGTGCAACAATATTGGAGTTTCCATCTTAGGGACTAACTCTTGCCTATTGTGGTCTGTGCATGCATCCTCCAGACGAGTACTTAGGAAACTCTGCAACTTAAAGGGACTCAGCATTCACGGCAAAGTTCCAGAGAAAGCAGATTTGGTTTGGCCCATAGAGAGAGTCTATGCCCGCACAGCCCATGCCCCTGAATTAAGGCAGATGAGCCTAAAAGACAACACCCCGGTTCGAACCTGCGACGACAAGCGGGGACGCAAACTTATGACCCGTATGTTACCGAATGTTCGACTCCTCGCCCAGCAGAAGCCACCAGAGCACAGTACTGGCTGCCAGCCACTTTTCGATTTTGCTGCACTTGCGCATAATGGCTGTTGTATGACTAGCATCCGTCACTGCGATAATTATCGTCTGCAGGTTGTCACTACCGGCCCGATTCTGTAGTATCATTGCTGCTTCTACCGTTCATCGAACTTCATACAAGATTATCATGACCATGCTCCTCAGGGACCGGAAGATGCGGTGCCGGACTTCAATTGTGTTGCTTTCGGGACGGGGGGCCTCGATAGTCGAGACCCGCAAAAATCACACGAAAGGTCCTCCTCCACTTCGGGGGCTGGTATTTCTGGGTGGTTTGGGGCTTTAGAGGCCCAAGTCCCGATGTTTCTCCAGTTTGGGGAGCTCGAGTTGCTAAACCCTATGTGCCTAAACTCGGAACTTACAGTTGCAGTCAGGATCTCCACTTACCTGTCCGGCTATTCAGGGGAACTGACGGTTAAAGGCGTGCCGAGGCAAGCACCGGCTTGTTCACGGCATCTTTCTCGCGGAGCCACAACTTGACCTCCTTTCCGGCAGCAAGTCGCAGAAATCAAGTTCTTCCAGCTTTTTTAGGATTGCTCACGCTAGTTGCACGCGCGCAAACACACACACACACACACAGCGACCATCGCCACGATCACGGCCTAGGGTTTGTTGTCAGGTTTGGTAATGTAGGGGCCTTAATAATTCGAATAGGGTTTTGGGGCCCATTGTACTATATAATCATAATGAGGAACCACCAAAATAGTATTGGCAATGATTTAAGCCCCTATATTCAGTTTTCAATGACCCCCAAGCCTATCGTTTCTTCAATACCGGCTTGGTCGAACTTTGCCCCTGCAGCTCGCCCTAGTTTAACCCATCCTTCATTTCGGAGAAGGCTGTATCGGGTTTTCAGAAAACTAGGCATCTTGTGATTTAGGGGTCCGTATGTATAGGATCCTATATATCTTAGGGTTATAAACCTTCCATATCCGAGTTTGTGACCGAACCTTGACATCTCCTTTGGAACCCAAGTTGCAAGACCCTGGGGATGTAGCGACTGCAGAAACGGACGACCTCAAATGTGTGAACAACCCTCATACTGAAGCCCGTCGAAAAAGAAGCCTAGGACACCAAAGACGAACATTGGGACTATTCGAACTGAGGCCGTCCTCCTATGCAACTGTGGAAGGAAGGTTGTGGCCCAAAGAGGCTTCTGGCTTAGGGCTTCGGTTCTACCACGATATACGGAGCAGCACATCGTGCCAGGCGCACTTCACGCCTCGAGGTTTCCTTCCAGCACGGCGCTGTGCAATGGAGTCGACACCATGGCTGCTCGGATGTCGAGACCTCTTCTTAGTGTATGGGTGGAACTTGAAGAAAGTGCCCATGCTGGACGCACATGTGTTACATAGATTTCGTGGAAGACATGCCTAATCTACAAATGCAAACACGAGACAATTCATGAGCCCCAGTTTGGATATGTTTGAAACATGGACGAAGCATGAACAGATGTCAGTCGTGCGTTGCTGGCACCGCCAGCTGGTCCTTCGCTCTGTGCGGCGGCGAGACATCAAGTAGGGCATATAAGCAAACTGGACTCTCCCAAGAATCCTCGAAACCCACAAGCGCGAGATCAGGATTCGCAATTAGACTCGGCCATCACATTGTCCGAGCAGCAACAAGAGCAATCTTCCCGATGGTTAAGCCTCAAGCCCTCGCTTCAAGATTCGTCAGCGGAGAATGCTGAGCCCGAAAGACTTGAACCTAAAAGCCTTGATCTCAAGCTCCTGCTTCTTCTTCTTCTTGGCCATCTCCGCTGCGTGCGCCTGGACACTTCGCTCGGCAAACCCTCTCGGTTTGCAATGTGCTAGAACCACCTTTCTTTCCTTGATGAGGCTCTAGACCGGATTTCTTTCAGCACTCACAGCTTGGGCATGCCAGGTGAGGTTCAACAAAGGGGGCTGGGGAGGTACATTATCGTCTCAGTACATGGAGACCACCAGGGCGTCTTATTACCAGTGGAATCTATATGGCTAGTTGTCAAAAGTATGGTCCCTTTTTGGGTACCCGAAATACTTGGTGCCGTACTCTATTAGGGACCCAAAAAGGGACCATAATTTTCACAACCACCCATAAAGTGGTCATGTTGCCTCCTGCATGGCTGAGCTCACGAAGCAGGCTTATGGTTGACATACAGGCAATTCACTCCCTGGTGCATTGTGCCGCCCGGGGTCAGGTCGCTCAGCACAAGCAACACACTATAGCCTATTTCAAACTGTTCATGCAGTCAGTTCATGTAGGAACCTGATTAAGATACCTTGGGCCTTCATTAGGGTTCCTTATATGAATCCTACTATCTGAGGAGTTACAGGGTCAGGGTTTCTTAATAAGGTTCCAACATTAACACATCCACACACCATCAACGGCAAAATGCCCATCATGCAGTAACTTGCTGATTACAAAGTAGTAGTAGTAGTAGTAGTAGTAGTAGTAGTAGTAGTAGTAGTAGTAGTAGTAGTAGTAGTAGTAGTAGTAGTAGTAGTAGTAGTAGTAGTAGTAGTAGTAGTAGTAGTAGTAGTAGTAGTAGTAGTAGTAGTAGTAGTAGTAGTAGTAGTAGTAGTAGTAGTAGTAGTAGTAGTAGTAGTAGTAGTAGTAGTAGTAGTAGTAGTAGTAGTAGTAGTAGTAGTAGTAGTAGTAGTAGCAGTAGTAGTAGTAGTAGTAGTAGTAGTAGTAGTAGTAGTAGTAGTAGTAGTAGCAGTAGCAGTAGCAGCAGCAGCAGCAGCAGTAGCAGCAGCAGCAGCAGCAGGCAGTAGCAGTAGCAGTAGCAGTAGCAGTAGCAGTAGCAGTAGCAGTAGCAGTAGCAGTAGCAGTAGCAGTAGCAGTAGCAGTAGCAGTAGCAGTAGCAGTAGCAGTAGCAGCAGTAGTAGTAGCAGTAGTAGTAGTAGTAGTAGTAGTAGTAGTTGTTGTTGTTGGAAAGTTCCAATCGCCGAAGGTCGGCGTCCGAGGAGACTATTGATTGACGGATGTTTCCCCCAATCGCCGCGGGTTTCTTGTTGCTTAACGGCTTCCCTTTGAGGGGTTCTACAAGGGTTCCAGTCGACGGGCCTCCAAAATTTCACTCCGGCTTTATCTGACTTGCACTGATCCCTTTCAACTTTAAGCCCTACCTGGACCCAAAAAAACAATCTACCTTACCTTTAAGGACTTGTTTAAGGAAATCATAATATCTAGCCCTAAAAGTCTAGGTTTCTTCGTTTGGAGGTATGTGGACCATCCGCACTCCAGGGTCAACACCTCCCGCTTCTCGTGGTGGTATTCCGCCAGCCGCTGGGCATAGTCAGCCTTCATCTGCTTGCCCGCCTGCAGGGGGTTCGCTTTGGGTATCCTCAAACGGGAGTGCACGGCCCCTTTAAGGGGAAAGGAGGGTATATGGAGGGACGGAGCTTGCTAAGCTCTTTCCTCGTAGATTCATGTTTCGGCCTTTCCACTTTTGTTGGTCATGACAACGGAGGAGTCCTTCATGCCGGCTCGGCCGTCGGGATTAGATTCGCTGTGTGTATAGGATAATTAGTTGATGACTTGTGATCTGCATGGAGATATCTGAACCAAAGCCCTTATCTTCAGCATGAGGTCTGCCTGAACAACAAGGCAGTTTGCAAGCATAGCCCACTCTCGCGGCCTGTAGGTGAGCTACGGAAATGCAGTATGACCCGAAATTGTTTTCGAAGCCCCAATTCCGCAAAAGAAACGCGGAAACAACAGAGCTGCCGTCTCAATGACTGTCCCCAGTAATTATCCGAGATTAAGGCTTGATTCAACGTGATTCTGGACGTAGAGTTTAGGGGTTGGGGTTGCATCTGTCAAAGCCCGAGTCGGAGCTTGCTGAGCGGATGCTATACCCTGCTTGGGCCAATGAACGGAATGTTGCATAGATGTAAGCCTGTCTTGTCACCTCGGGGTCCTCAGTAGCTTTACGGTTTATGCTTCAACATGTGGGCACGCGGCCCAAAGTCGGTTCTACTCCACGAGCTCTCCACCTCCATGCGCTTGCGCACGACAGCCTTGAAGTAGCCTCAATTTTGAAGGCATAGGATTTGCGGACCCATGCGGACCCCTATGGATCCAGGCCAACGAGAATACTAAGTACTTAGGACAAGGTCTTGGGGTCTAGTGATGAATGTATGTACGCACCAGGAAAGGATGTCATTATTTGCCTTTCACTTTAGCTTCTTAGACCCGATTACAGCCAGGCCACCAAACTCTCCTGGTTACAACCCATGAGGGACCGTAAAGCTTCGAAAAAGATACAGTAAGGATACATTCTATATAATACAGAAAAATATCGAAACTTGGGCTTCCGCAGATATGTGCATGTACATGGGCTGTAAGGGCGGGGTGTAGGCTGGGGCTTATAAGGGAGTTTCCGAAAATAGGGGACCCTAATGTAGTACCCTAAATAGTAGGATCCTTCTTATAAGGATCCCCAAATAAGGTACCCTGAATTTTCAGAAAACTCTAAACCTTAAACCCTATATAGAACCCTTATAGATCCCTTTAAGGAACCCTTTAAGGATCCCTTTAAAGGAACCCTTATAGAGCCCTATTTCGGAAACTCCCACAAGGCGTTGCATGGGCCCTTGGAGCTGCTATTTTTCGACCGCAGGTCGGACTTCGCATGCAACTTGCGGTCTCTTGACGCTTCGAACACGGATTATTATTATTATTATTGTTATTACTATCGTAATTATCATTGTTATCATTCCCATGAGTTGCGAGTCTGGTCAAAGACATGAACCGTCCAAAGACAGGAAGTAAAGGCCTAAAGGCCTTAGGGCATGCACCCCAAGCCCCGAAACCGATACCTCGGCTTCTGAAACCTCGCGGCTGTCCCCGCACCTTCGAAGACGTAGATCTTAGGATGTTGTTTGCTGAGACTTGGAGGGCCCCATGCACCAGCCACTTGGACTTCACCCCGAATCCTACGAGAGCAAAAGACCCGGTGACCCTGAACACGGGATGTAGGTCTGCGGCGCTTCCGCTGCAGGAGGGACGGCGTGATCAGTCGCTGGATCTTTGGTGCCTCTCTGTAGGGTGTGCAACGTTTGGGGCTTTCGGAGCATAAGGTCTGGAGCCTATAGACTGTGTAGTGTTTGAGGCTACGTGAATCGCATTTTGCGATTAGAGGCGTCCGTACACGACTTTACAATTACAAGGGCTTCATTCGGACTCGAGTTCAGGGTGTTGCATCTTGAGGAGCTTTCCAGACATGTCTGGGTCTAACCCCGAAACATGTCGTGCAAGTCTAAAAGAAACTATCGAGAACTGAGCCGGAAAACAACAAACAACCCATTCACCTGAAAACCAGCAACCCACGCAACAGCAGCACCAGCACCAGCACCAGCATCAACAGCCCAGCACCAGCACCAGCGTCGGCACCTGCAAAAACACAAGCATGAGTGAGCCAGCAGTAACGAAAACAGTGCAGTCATCGCCCACCACACGCCCACCACCATCATAAGCATAATGACATTTTATCCTCATCCCATTCATCATCACCACCACCATGGCAAGAACCATGACATGCATGACCATGAGGAAGACGATCATCATAATCGCCATGTCACTACCTGCCCTGGGAGTCTCGATCTGCCAAGCATGCTCCATGTGGCTCCATGGCCTTGGTCTTCTTTCCCTCCTTCACCTCGGAGCTTCTCAGGATGAGGAGATGAAAAACTAGACAATCTTGCCAAGCTTATGGGATATTTATACAGTCCCTCAGAACGTGCATCGCATTGGTGTCTCCGGAATTCGATGCAACCTCTACACTTTCTTCAGCAATAGCCGTCAGTCTCGCTCTCCCTCCAGCATCGAAGTAGTACATGCTAGCTCATGCCCTGAACCCTAAGCATTAAGCCCTCTGGATCGGAGTAAATGCTCCGGCATCCCACCAATGGACGCAGCACGGCTTGGAATCTTACTTTCTTGATCCTTCTGCGCATACCAAAACCTAAAGCGTAACAAGCCCAAAGCCGTGGGCCCTACATGCATGACCTTTAGTGGGGAGCTGCCCGAGTGCATATGCGTGTAAACAATATTGAGCCTCCAGACGACGATTGAGGCTGAATCGGAACCTAAGCACCCTGACTCAACCCGACGATCCAACATGAATCCGGCTGCCTCGCGCCGCACAACGAACTGCCGGACGTCATCCTGTTACGGATGTCTACCTAGTAACTGGGGGAACAAAGATTCGATAGTGTAGTATGGGGCTAAACGTAAGCCACACCAACACTGACGGAGATAGCGGCTGTTGGAGTTAAGTGACTAAGGAATGTTGCAGAAAGCACCAGAGCCAATGCTTGTCAGCCTCCCTGCATTTTTACAGGTGGCCTAAGCCCAAGCCTATCCCAGAACCTCTTGGGTTTTGTGTTCAAGGGGTCTGGAGCTGAAGTCGCATAATACAGTGGCCTGGATCAATTAGTCTAAGGTTTTGGTGCCCATTATACTATATTTCATAATAAGGAACCCCCGAAATAGTAGAGGTAATTATTCAGACCCCATAGTATAGTACCCTTATAGATCCCTTATAGTAACCCTCAAAAAGACCCCTTTAAAGGAACCCTTTTAAAGAGGTAACGAGGAAGGTCTCCATATTACTTCATGCTTTGCCTGCTTAGGACCCAAGGGCTTCCCGCGGTGTTTCCTTGGATGACGGCAGACTTCGCCACGAGGCATCTTCGCAAGTCGCAGGGAACCACGTCCCATGGTTTCTACGAATCTAAACCCGGCCCTAAACTTAAAGAACCAAGCTAAGGTTCTTGCACTCTCCTGCGCTGACCCCTACTTGGAGGTTCATGGGTAGTTATAAGTGGGGTTATAAGTCCCTTAATATAGGTTATAAGTATAGTTACCTTACTTATAACCCCACTTATAAGTACCCCTGAACCTCCAAGTAAAGCCCTCTAGCCCCGAACCCCAAAACATGCTGAAACCCTGAAGCCCTGAACCCTGAAGCCCTCAGAGCCCTACAGCTCTACAAGGCTCCCAGCCCTGAGACGCAGAAAGCCCTACAGCTCTACATAGGCTGTTTTGTTTGCAAAACTCTGTTTTGTGCAGGAGCTGCAAGTAAAAACAGAAAACTTGAACCTGTGGCTTTCTGAAACACCTACAACCCAAACCTATATGCTTCTTTAAAACCTGCAGGAATCCGCAATCCGCCAACGCGCGCCTTCTTCTCCAAACCAAAGAGCTTCCTGATGTTGCTGGCTCGCTTGGGTCCTGGTTCAGGGTTTAGGGCTTTCGGGGTTTACGGTTTAAGGCTCAGGGCTCAAGGTGCTCGCGGTTTATGTTTGAGGTTTAGGGTTTAATGTTCGAACGTCCACGTAATACGATTTTGAGTGCCACAAAAACACCCTTTTTGCATGAGGACTTGTGCAATCGCCTGAATGTATGAGCACAGCCCCCTATTACTATGCCCTTCTAGCATCATGATACAAAAAACCGTACAAACACGGAGTAGGCCCGGAAGTCCCCACCGCAGCTCGCAGCCTAGTCGGCGAGGCTTGTTGTCGTCTGTCAGCCCGGCGATGTCCTCGGCACCCTGGCACTTGCGAGTTTCAGACAACCTAGACCCCCCAAAGTAGGTAGAATTATGGCCCAAAACCTACAAGAGGCTATTATTCTACAGACTTTTTGGGGTCCAGGAATGGGGGACCGTAGTGCAAACCATCTTCCTGATCTTCGTCCGTAAACCTGAAATTGTAGGATCCCGTTATTGGGTAATCAGTGTTCATTTGTTTAGAGCCGGGGCTGTTGTGCGCAGCATTCCTAAGCCCTGAATTGCGGGAGCTTCGTTCTAAGTATCTCTGAGCGACCCTCCTTGGAGGCTGTTGGCTCGCCCCCTGCGGGTCCGGGCGGCCACTGTCACCGCGTAGGGTTCTTCGGGAACGAAGTAGAGTTGCACTTTGAAACTCTCCGCAGACTCCTCTACATCTTCACTGACGAACTGATCCGGCAGCACCGGTACCAAAATGCTTGTACACATATATGTACTGTATGTGTGTGTGTATATATATATATATATATCTTTATATATGTGGATGTACATATACATATGTATCATATCAATATAAGTTGGCAGGGGGCAATGCGGAATCTGAGCGACCTCAGAAAGCCAACATGGATCCCAAACACTAGGTCCTCGTCGCCACAGACATCACTGATATTCAGTGATCATTCAACCCTGGGGCTCCAAGTATACAAATAGTACCTACTTTGAGGCCTAAAAGTCTATAAATAACGTCTGCTTTGGGCTATTTGGAGCCCAAGGGAAAGTTAAGATGCCTGATCTTCAAAGATGCCGGCGCCAACAACAAGAACAAACAGCAGTCACACGCAATATGAACAACCCCCAAGTCTCAAACAGTAGCTGGCCGCCCCAATCCCGACAGCCGCTGCATCCTAATTGTTCCATAATGTTGGCGCCTTAAAAATAATCACCTGCTGCATACCATTTTGGGAGTCTCTTATTATGATTACAGTATAGTGGGCCCCAAAACCCTATTCTTATTATTAATTCCCCTATATGAACTTGTCTTTGAGGTCGTCGGTTCAAGAGCGGACGCAGGCCTTCTTCACGATGACCAAGCTCAGAACCTCACGAACATCCGTGGCCTTTATAATCAGAATACAGCTTATCGTTTCGGGGTAGAGTAGGATGCATTGTTCGGCAAGGGCCATAACTGGACATAAATGGAATATCCGTCGCTTGTTCCCGCTTGCGTCGACTGAATCAGCGAATATGCTGAACCACACACCCAGACCATGTAGTCACAGCTACTGGGATGCCTCTTCTGCTGGCCCTCGGAATAATCGGTAACAGTGTCCCTGTACATTACCATGTATGTACTATACCCCCCACACACACTTCAAAACCCTGTACCAGCCCATAGCACCTTTATTCCAAGGGTAATGGGAGGGACCCTTAATAAGGACCCCTAGGTATATACCCTTAATATAGCTATTATATACCCATTATATAGCCCATTATAGGGCAGGGGTCCTTATTAAGGGTCCCTCCTTTTCCCCTTTGATTTATCAAGCTCCATATCCCAAACCAGACTTTGTTGAGAGCAGGCGCTGCCAGATCGGGACCGACCACGCAGCCCCTGACCATGATTAGCTTTGTTGTCAATGGGGTTACGGTTGATTCATTCTTTTTTTGAGGGCCCTTTTCCTCCCTGCGACAGTCGGAATACCTAGTAGGTAGAGCCAGGTTAAGGACAACAAGGGGGTTAGGGTGTAGGGGTTTAGGGTTTATAGAGGGGTGGGTTTAGAGTGAAGGAGGCATGGGCTTTAGAGCTTGGGGTTCGGGGCTGCGTTCTTTGCCAGGTCTCCCAAAAGCCTTTCCACCGTAGGTAGTAATTTCGAGGTCTTTTGTGTGAAAATCAGGAATACCTTTAGGAGCTTGCCAGTTCGTTCCTGCCATTCGTAGGACATTCGGATGTGAAGCTACTAGAATTCTGCCTTCCAGGGTGCAAAACTCTAACCCCTAAGGCTTAAAGATGCTTGCAGTAGGGGCCTTAATCATTCGAACAGGGTTTGGGTGTTATATTATACTTTCAACATAACAAGAAACCCGCTAAAGACCCTATTCTAACTGTTAAGGCCGCTACATTGCCGGCGGGTTAGCTCTGTGGAAGACCTGGGGCTTGGGAAATATTATTGTAGGGAGCCTCGCAGGGCTTTGAGGCACGAACACTTTCAGATTTCAGGGGCGGGGGTTCTTTGGGGCCCTACCTAGAGGCCACAAGTATGTAGAATAAGAGCCTTTTATAGGTTTTGGGCCATTATTTTACCTACCTTGGAGGGTTTAGGTAGACCCTAAACCCCGAAGAGTGCTCAGAGCCGAGCCCAAACCCAAGGCGAAACCAGGCGAGGCTCGTAGATTGGACTGGAACCTAGCCTTAGCCTTGGGTGCGGCCCTCCACTCAGTAATAGTTGAATCATATTCACAATATGGACAGGTATAGCCCTGTTATAGACTCCCACTGTATGGGGGCAGTACCTAACCTAAGCCCTTTTAAAGCCTAAATGCACGGATCCGATCTCCGTGCCCTGCAAGGACACAAGCGCCGAAAGCATATTCAAGCCAGAATCCCATTATTCATGGAGTAAAGGCAACACTCCTTCCAAGACACAGCCCTAAGCCCCAAATCCCACAAACCCTGAAACCCTAAACCCTAAACTTTAAGACAAAGCCCTAAGCTCAAAAACCCGCGAAGCTTTGGGGTGTTCGGATCCTTTCCTGACTGACTTCCTCTTTCGGCATCCGCCCCTGCGCTCCCGGTAGCCTCGGACCATGTAATCTAGGGGCCTTAATAGTTAGAACAGGGTTCCTTTCAAGGGGATACTTAAAGGGGTCTCTAAGGGACCTATAGTAGGGTTCTGTAATACAGGGGCCTCAAAACTTAGAGTAGGGTTTCGGAATGTTTCGGACTTATATTATACTATGACTAAAATTCATAAGGAGCCGCCAAAATAGTACTAGCAACTATTTAGGCCCCTGTAGAAAGGTGTTCTGGCAGGACAGAGGAGGGTTGTACAGGCGAGAAAGCTATAGCTTTTCATGGTGTTTTTCACTTGCCTCACTGCTTACAAGATCTCGGGTCTAGGGGACTGTTTGAGAGCACAATTACGACTATGCACAGCCACATCACACGGACAAAGACAGTTCATCAAAAGTCCGATCTTCAGCGCCACGGAGGCAGTGAGAGCGCATGGCTTGATTCAGCACTGAAGACCCCTTTTGGCAGCTGGGCTCTTAGTGTCAGCCAGCAAGTCCGCCCATGCTCTGAAGCTCCCCTAAACCCTAAACCCTCAACATGCGAAGATTCCCCAAAAGGCAGATGGAGATCATAAGTCATGAGGTCCTACACCGGAGCTGCATCCCGAGCAGCAGGACATGCCCTTCTTGAAGAGCAGCCTGTGTCAGCTGGGCGGGGGTTGCTTGTGCTGACCACTAAAGCCAATTTGACGTGCGAAGGCTCTGCGGGAGCCTTAGTTCCGGTTTCATACATGTATATATATATATATACATATATATATATATATATACTCTCGCTCTTGGCATGCCTTTCATCAGACAGAGCCCTGCCGAAATGCCAGAAACCCTCCGAGACGGTGCCTGACACGGTTGTTGCTGAGAACGCCCTGCTTCATGGGGAAGCCCTGCTTGTCATTGCCGCCACCGATTCGGAAGACGTAGCCCTGAGTTGCCCGGATCCGGTGCAGGGCAAGTACATAAGCATGGGCACATGTCGTTTGAGGGCTGTTTGCTGCCGTTCTAGGTAGTATATTACATAACTCCACATAAATAAGGTTGATGATAAAAATCCTGCAGTACCTTCATGACCCGAGACTATGGGAATGGGGATTATGGTATATTCCTTATTATGGGTAATGCAAGATTTGTATCAGTAAAAGTAGTAAAGGTGGCAAGGGCCTTGAACTCATCGCCCAGGGTGTCGCCTGGGACCTCCTGGGCCATCCTCTTGTCGAAGAGCGGGTAGAGCTTCTTGTCGTCATCGATCTCGATCATCCTTTGGGGCATTCTGAGAACAGATGCGAAGGACTTATAAAATCATTACATATATATATATATATATACATATCTATATGTATATATACAGAAAATAACACACTACAGGCCCCAGTTTTCGTGGGTCGCATACAGAACAGGTAATTATACCTTTATAAAACTATGATGCACTCTCTCTCTCTCTCTCTCTCTCTCTCTCTCTCTATACATATATATATATATATATGTATATAATAGAGAGCATCCTTTGGGCTCTCCAGGACACGGGCACTTCTAGGCTTCTCGGCGCCTAGGGTTCTAAGGGTTTCGGAAGGTTGTTTAGGGGTGTTGTGGGGTTTGGGGCTCCGGGTTTTGATACATTTTGACAGTTTTCAAGAACTGTAAGGCCGCTAACACGACCTGTATCAGAAGAACCCGCAGGGCATTGAAGATACACAGTCAAACGAAACGGGTCCAAAGTGTCTTAAGGCTTTAACTCTCACTGTGCACGACAAGATGTCTTGACGGCGAGGGTGGTGGTTTCCTGTCGGCCACCCTTGTCCCTGCACCTTATGCAACCTGAGCACAGTCTTCTTCTAGCATAAGGGCAGCTGCAAATAAAGGACAAGGGATTTCCACAGATGGTAGCTTCACTATTTATAAGGTAACATTAGTTATGTAACTAACTCACCTAGGCATCTTTGCGAGACAAGCGACTTCTGCATGCCAGTCCTGAAAGGCAGGAAGCCCAGGGGATGCTACGGGCTAGTTTCCACCGTGTGTGGTCAATACGATGCCTCGAGGGAAGCCTGTTTATAATATTAGAATAGGTTCTGGGGGGTATATTCTACTACAATGATGATAAGGAACCACCAAACTAGTGTAGGTATATATAATCATTAAGGACCTATATTGCACCTTGGAGGTCGGGTTGTCGCAAGCAAAGGAATTGCTCTCTTTGGCGTCTTCCAGTTCACCTTATTTTGGAGTCCTCATATTTATGCTACTATTTGGGGTACTATATGAGGGTCCCCTATCTACGGAAGCTCCCATATCTTTGCAGACTTCCCAGATAGCCGGGAATTGGGAAACCCTGGGTTGCAGCTCGAGGTCGTCGGATTGGAGATGTTGAGCTTCATGGTCGCGGGGTGGCACACTGCCCAGGTGAGCAAAACTGGTGAGGACTATGCTTGGGCCGAAACGGCAGCAGCGGTTTAGGAGTTTTTTTTCCCTCCTTCTTGGCAAGGACGAAGCCCAGTTAGGGTTCAGGGTCTAAAGCTCAGGGTTGAGGGCTTAAGTTTTAGGGCCTTTAGGGTTTCAGCACTCACTCTCGGACCAACCGTTTTGGGACTGCGGAGAGCTTCAACCAGGCTAAGATTGCAACTTACCCCCGCGGATGTGCCCAAAGAGTCTGCATTTCCATGTTGAAGAAGCCATGAGCCACATCTCCGCAGCTGGAAGCCAGATCCTAATCTGCGAAGCCGAATCGCCGGGGTGGGCACTGACTGGCGGATAGAGCTCGATCAGGATCTAGCCAAGCAGAGGGCTTACAGTAGAAGCCAGAAAGTTGGACTATCATTATCGTAACCCCTTTAAGGTAAACTATAGGGGATCCTACCATTAATCCATATTCCAACTTTCTGGAGTTCCCTATAGGGTTTAGGGATCACAAGCACGAGCAGAAATGCAACGATGGCGACAGCGACAACACGCAGTGGTATTTTTCTTCTCAATCGTCCCATGTACGACCAAGACCGCTACCAGTAACAGCAAGAAGGGCGACAACGACTGCGACTACACATAGCCGCATCTTGTGAACAATCTCATGTATCACCAAGACCAACACCAGCGTAGATGCCTGTACACGTCTGCACTTCTATGACGAACACGACTGCGCGGCGGCGACTGTGGCTGCGACGTCTACGACGACGAATGCGACTACGAGGAGTGTACGGCCGCTGATGCTACTGCCACTGAAAGATCTTCAAAACGAGAAGCAGCAGCAAAAACAAAACAAGCCACCCATCTTAGGCGAGAGAACGCGCCCCTGCACAGACAAGTTCAGACAAGCCGTACAGAGCTGCGTTCGTCCTACTGGCTGGAAGCCCGAGAAGAACCCTCTCAAAGCACCAGACCCTGAATTTGAAGCCCCAAGCCCTCTAACGCGGATTACCCTACATGCCTCCAACCCCTGGACCCGCACAAGCAAGCTAAACCCTAAACCGAACCGAAGTTTTCCTCCCCGAAAGTGCTCCATCATCGCGGCTTCGTTGGTCCAGGCTTCCACGAATCAGTTAACTGGGTTGACGTTGGGATCAGGGTCTAGTCAGGGGTTTCCTGTAAGGTTTCTCATATGGCAGGTTTCGGCTTTGGGGTATCACTGTTTCGGGTTTATAGGATGTACTACTTCAGGGTGTGTGTGTGTGTGTGTGTGTGTGATTCGGGATCTCAAGTTGCCTGTTTGCCCCCCCCCCCGCGCACCTGCGACAGCCGGCGAACCTGGTCAGCTTTGAAACCTCTGGAGCGGAGAGGAAGTTGGCGTCTGATTGTGTTGACTCTATCTTGGAGGTTCATGAGTAGTTATAAATGGGGTCAGAAGTCCTCTAAGACGGGTCATAGATATAAAGCTCCGCCACTTATGATTCCCCATGAACCTCCAAGTGTTGAGAACGATCAAGCAAACATCATCAAGCTCTTGGCTTGAAAAACTAACCCTAAACCCTAAACCCCTAAATCCCAAACCCGATGCAAATGAACCCAGGAGCAGCTTTACGAAAGTCCACGATTGCTGAGGGTTGAGGGTGCCGAGGCCCCAGGCGAAGCTAACATAGGGGCCTTCATAATTATAATAGGGTTCTGGGGTAGCTTTTACTACAATTATAATAAAGAATAGGATTCTGGTGGGGTATCTTTTACTATAGTTGTAATAAGAATAGGATTCTGGGGTATCTTCTACTATAGTTATAATAAAGATCCGCAAAATAGTATTGGCAATTATTATACTTAGCCCCTATCGTACTTCACAAAGACGTCGGTCGTGAGGGCTTCGGACTTGTTGGATGCGAGTTTTCTGCTTTTCTCCAGCCCACATGGGAGTTTCCGAAAATAGGGGACCCTAATATAGTACCCTAAATAATAGGATCCTTATTATAAGGGCTCCAAAATAAGGTACCCCTAATTTTCGGACACTCCCACATTCCTCAATTCTGAGCCAAGTTCGACTCTCGGTTCCTTGGCTCTCTGAACCCTAAAACTGCCCTAAATCCTTTAACCCACACCCTTACCCTAAACTATCTTCAACTCTGAACCCCGGAATGCTAAGCCTCTGCAATCCTCTGCCACATGTCGTGGGAAGCTTGGGAGCCTCTGGGCTTCCATCCCCCGTTCCTCGCCTAAGCGTGACCGGCACCCTAAGAAAACCAAAGCCGGGTTTAGGGTTTAGGGTTTCTTATGATGCTTTCCTTTATGATGATTTCCTTGTAGAAGTCCTTGAAAAATGTATGCTCTCTGTGGAACCAGGTCGGGATAGCTACAGGGCATGTGTCAACCCCAGCCTAAACCCTAAACCCTAACCCTGAACCCGCTCTAGTACTGAACACAGATGTCCACACTTTCCACTTCAAGCTTTGCAACACAAAGCTTCCTCCTCCGAGACAAAATGTTGGCATCCTGGGACAAAAGCTGTGCCGTCTTCTCCCTAAACCGTAAACCTCTATGTTTCTTCCGACCCAATTTCGAGCCAGCAGCGAGGGAGTAGATGCTCCGCACTGATGCGGCAGAAGGCCTCACAGCTATGGATGTCCGTCAGAAACAGTTTTGCAGCAATGCTCATCGTCATCCGCCGCGCACTCACCGTCGCCATCTTCGTCAGAACCATAGGGATTGTCAACACTGATATGTCCAAGCTACTCGTAGTCATGCTTCGTTGGGGGACCGTGGAATTATGAACAGTAGCTAGGCGGAAACTTGAGTGAGCATCGCAAGAAACACCCTCGTGCTTTTTCCGCAGGCACTTCCCAAAAGGGTCACAAGCATAAGCTTGTCGTCGTGCCAGGGTGTACTTACAAGGCGTAATAACCAAAGGCAAGCCCCAAACCGCCATCAACCCTTACAAAAACCCTCTCAAACCATACTGCAACCATGGGAGCCCATGGCTTTAGTGGATCTTTGGTCGAGGGGTGGTTCAGAACAGCTTCCGATTTTATTGCTTGATTGTGGGAATGCAAGGTTTGGCATGTAGCTAGGGTTTCCGCTTTCCAAGGCTTTACAGGGTCGGTACAGCTCTTCGTTATGTAACTGTATTGAAGCCCAAAACGTGCTCATAAATTCGTTAACCTCAAACCCTAAACAAATCCTTGGCACCAGCAGCTCGAAGCGATCAAGGTCTCATCTCCCGCTTAGGTTCTCTTGAGGCGAGGCTGTTTCTCTGAAACCGTGTCGGCTTTTTGTTCTCAAGATTTGTGGATCTTGTGAACTTCAACTCTCAAGTGTCTAAGATTGCAAAGTCACAGTCCAAGAGCCCAACACAACCTGCAAGTCGTTGACCCGTTGGCCAAATCTCCTTTCCCTGCAGACCCCAGGATACCTCCCGGGACCCCATATTTTCAGCAGCCACATACTCACTGGTCCAGCTCATCGCAAAAATGCTTAAAATTGTCATTAGTTCATGCTTCAAGACTCAGAGTTTCCTGCCAGCCCAACCTTCCTAAATCCTCCACCTCCAACCTCAAAACTTGAGCGCTGAGCATCAGAGGCTGTGCGGGGCCTCGAAATCTGCTTTCACCATGGCAACACGCCAGTGCGGCAAAAGTGACAGGAGCTCCTGCAGCATAATTGGGTTGGAACATCCTCTCACAAAGAAACTACAGGACGGAAAATACTCTTGTCAAGCCCAAGAGCACAAAGGTATTATGAAGGTCCCTGTCGCCAATCTTAGCAGGAGCTCCATCCGTTGCTTTGGGGAGTTGCAC